TAGTGCAGATGGGTTTATTCTCATTAGGGAGCCGGGCCCGGCTCCGGCCTGCGCGCGGAGCAGCGCCTCGCCCACGCTCTCCGTGGAAGCTCCTCACCTCCTCCTGCTCGGCAGATGCTGCTCCAGAGCCAAATCCTGGCGAGGTGAGGATGGAAGGGAGCGAGTGTTGGAGCTGGAGAGGAGCCAGGGAGCCACGGAACAGCTGAGCTGCCTGGCAGGCCAGGAGAGACTTGGCTTCTTCCTCCCCAGCTCCTTCCTCCATTTTGCTTTGGAGCTGATTTGATGGACACAGAAAAGGATGGAGGGGATGGGAGTTGAGCTTGGTGCTTGGGAAAACTGGAATATCAGCACAGATCCGTGCTGGGCTGAATGCTGGTGGTTTTATTTCAAAACCTACGGTGACACCTGGCTTGGAGCAGCCTGGGATAGTGGAAGGTGTCCCTGTGAATGACAGGGGCTGAAACTGGATGGTTTTTAAGGCCCCTTCCAACCCAAACCATTCCAGGAATCTGATTCCATGATCCTCACTCTGGACTACCAAAACGCCTCCTGATCACAGAACCAAACATACTCTGCTCCTGCCAAATTCCCCACATCCTGAATTTTCCCTCCAGTTTCACAGGACCCTCAGGGGTGAATGTTTCCCCACACATTTTGGGGCTACTTGGCCTCAGCTGATTCCTGGACTCTGCTTTGGAGCTGCTCTGATGGACACAGAAAAGGATGGAGGGGATGGGAGTTGATGCTTGGAAAAACTGGAATATCAGCACAGATCCGTGCTGGGCTGGGTGCTGGTTGTTTTATTTCAGAACCTACAGTGACACTTTGTTCCTGACCACAGGAATGTGCTGATGCCATGCAGCCTTAAAATGTGCCCAGCAAAAGTGTCCAGCAGCTTTGCTGGGAAAAACACTCACCCCTGAGGGTCCTGTGAAACTGGAGGGAAAATTCAGGATGTGGTGAATTTGGCAGGAGCAGAGTATGTTTGGTTCTGTAATCAGGAAGAGTTTTGGTAGTCCAGAGTGAGAATCATGGAATAACAGAATCCTGGAATGGTTTGGGTTGGAAGGGCCCTTAAAAATCATCCAGTTTCACCCCCTGTCATTCACAGGGACACCTTCCACTATCCCAGGCTGCTCCAAGCCCTGTCCAGCCTGGCCTTGGACACTTCCAGGAATCCAGGGGCAGCCACAGCTGCTCAGGGCCTCCCCACCCTCCCAGCCAAAAATTCTTCCCCATATCTGAGCCTGAATCAACCCTATTTTAGATTAAAACCCTTTTTGCTGTCCCTCCATGCCCTATAAAAAATTTGCCCCTTCTTTACAAGGTTCCTTCAGACCCTGGAAGGGGCTCTGAGGTCTCCCTGGAGCCCTCCCTTTTCCAGGAGAACACCCCCAGCTCTCCCAGAGCGTTCTCCAGCCCTTGGAGCAGCTCCATGGCCTCCTCTGGATTTGCTCCTGTGCCGAGTGCCAGGGCTGGGAGAAGGATGGACAATGGAATTGGGAATTTCAGGTGTCTCTCAATTTCTGAGCAAGGAGCAATGTCCCACCCTGAAGGAGCCTGTTCTCCCCTGACCTGCCCCATCCTGTGGGGACAAAAAGCTGCGGAAACCTCCGGCCCAAAACTCCTGCTAAAACGTCCCTGGCAAGGAGAACCCCTTGGGAACTGCATCCAATCACAACCAGGACAGGATCCCACCTCCCCAGGGCTCGACACGCACAGAGCAGCATCTCCAAAAGCTTGAAACAAATCCAAAAGTTTATTTCCAACGAGTACACAGACCATGTGGGATAGGGATGCGCTACACCACGACTGGCTTTCGCCTACAACCACCCCCTCCCCAAAATCCTGCTGCTGGCAGGGTGGCAACACATGGACAGAATTGCCACCAGCAACCTTTGCAGACAATAAAAGTCCTTTTTCCAGTACTCCAGATATATTTTTTTCTTTAAAAGCCTGGGGGTAGTGGAATGTCGTTTGAGGCCAGGCTGGAAATCCAGCATGGGGATGGAGGGATGGGTGGGATTTTTGTTTTGAGGAGGGGAAACAACCTTGGCAGGTGATCTCTGCTTGGCTAACAAAGGCAGATCTGTGTAAATAGAAATACTGGGGTGAAATACCTGGCAGCACACCAATGGCAACACCACAACCAACAGAAAATCAAGCCCAGCAACGTTAAAACACCTTCAATGAATAGTTTGGGTTAATTCAAAATCTCCCCCTCCCCGCTCCCCCCTATTCATGCAGGTTTATTTTGTTGTCTAAGGTATTAAGAATTTGAGTTGTAAAATAGGCAAGTCGTTAAAAAAATTATTACAAACCACTTTTGTGACAGTGTTTGAGAAGGGGTGGGGTGGGAGCCCCGGGTCAGACCGGCTGCACTTCACTCTCTGTGACAATAAATCAGATTAAGAAGAAAAGACAAAACTCAGGATGGGGTTTTTACGTCTCTGCCTGGTAACACCAAGAGTGAAACCAGCTGCAGAGCAAACCACTTCACCCACCCTTCATCCTAAAGCTACGGGAGCTGTAGTAAAAAGATCAAAACTGAGGGAACTGGGGGGGCTGGAACCATCTAGGCTACTCGTGGCTTATAAACATTCCCAGGTGCCAAAAATTTGGAGTCCAGTGTGAGAAGAACTGGCCTTCTCCATAGAAGAACTAGAAAAAGAGTATGAAAAGGTAGAAAAACCAAAAAGCACTTTTTTTACGGGCTAGAAAGAGTTACCAAAAGGTACCTAAAGACTTTCATCCTCCTGGATCCACAGGGATTTTTGAAAGCTCACAACTGGTTCAGCGGGGTCACCACACACCCCTAAACCCCTTTGTGACCCCCAGCTCCTTTTGTACATAAATCCCCACATCACGATTCCCAAAGTGATGGTTCCCAAAGTGATGATTCCCAAAGGGATGATTCCCAAAGTGATGATTCCCAAAGTTTCTCAGGAGGACAGATGAGCAGGGGAAAGCCAGGAGGTGTTTAGCAGCAGAAAGGAGAGACAAGCCACATCCACAAAAGCACGGACCCGAGGAGGAGCCCAGAAAGGTGGCGTGTGTCCCCCGAGAGCTGGGAGCAGATGAAGCAGACCTGGGAATAACTGCCCAGCCTGGCACGGAGCCCAGGCCGTGTGTAAACAGGGAATCAGGCACCTCCGGGAAGGGGCGGCCCCACGGCTCCGGGGCTGCTCCCCTGGCCCTTCCCAACGTGGGGAGGGGGCAGCGGGAACAGGAGGGGAGGGCAGGAAGGGGCAGGAACATCCCAACGTAGAGCAGCATCCCATGGTGGGACAGCGTGCCATGGAGGAGCAGCATCCCACCATGGGGCAGCATTCCTTGGAGGAGCAGCATTCCATGGTGGAGCAGAATCCCACCATGGAGCAGCATCCCACCATGGAAGAGCAGCATCCCACTTTGGAGTAGCATTCCACTATGGAGCTGTATCCCACTGTGGAGCAGCATTCCATGGAGGAGCAGCATCCCACCATGGAGCAGCATTCCATGGAGGAGCAGCATCCCATGGTGGGATAGGTTCCCATGGTGGAGCAGCATTCCACCATGAAGCAGCATTCCATGGTGGAGCAGCATCCCCCCATGGAGCAGCATTCCATGGTGGAGCAGCATTCTACCATGAAGCAGCATTCCATGGTGGAGCAGCATCCCACCACGGAGCAGAATCCCATTTTGGAGTAGCATTCCACTATGGGGCTGTATCCAACCATGGAGCAGCATTCCATGGAGGAGCAACATCCCATAGTGGGATAGCATCCCATGGTGGAGCAGAATCTCACCAGGGAATGGCATTCCACCACAGGGGTGTATCCTGTCACGGAGCAGGATTCCATGGAGGAGCAGCAATGCACCATGAGGCTGTATCCCACCATGAAGCAGCATTCCATGGCGGAGCTGAATCCCACTTTGGAGTAGCATTCCACTATGGGGCTGCATCCCACCAAGAAGCAGCATTCCATGGAGAAGCAGCATTCCATGGAGGAGCAGTATCCCATGGAGGAGCAGCAAGCCACCGTGAGGCTGTATCCCACCGAGGGGCAGCATTCCATGGAGAAGCAGCATTCCATGGAAGAGCAGAATCCCATTTTGGAGTAGTATTCCACCATGGAGCTGTATCCCACCAAGGAGCAGCATTCCGTGGAGGAGCAGCAACCCACCATGGAGCGGAATCCCACCCTGAAGCAGCATCCCACCACTGAGCAGCATCCCAGCAACATTCCAGACCAGCCCCAAGGGAAGGAAGTGCTACCAGGAACTGGGAAAAGAGCAGGACCAAGCGAGGAGAGCAGAGGCACAGAGGTGTAGGAGAAAGGAAAGACCCGGAAAGAAGTGGTCGACTTTGATTTTCGGATTTCTGGCTCGCCCTGCACCCGGGCCGGCGCCTGCCCGGTGGCAGGAGGTATTTCAGGCACGTCTAAGGCATCTCAGGAGCTCTCTTTGCTTTCAGAATCGCCTCTGTTTCCTCCCTACGGCTTCTTCCACCAGCACGTGGTGCCGAACGCTGGAAAAGAAAAGTCTGGAGCGGATGAACGGAATTAAACTCTCATGCACTACCACTGAATGTCATCACAGGGCTAGGAAGCACCAAGCACGACACAGGAACCACTTTTACTTGCAGAACCAAAGCTAACCATAGAGAGAATGGTAAAAAGTGGGGTTTGCTGGGGACACAGAGCTGCTGGTGTCCCCTGACCCCCCTGCTACGCTACGGCCAGAAATGAAAAAGCACAAGACCAAACATTGAGTAACAGCACAGCCACCTAACCTGTCTGCTATATATCTGACAGCTTAAATCAAAAATATTAGCTTGGAAAGAAACCAACAATATCATTCCAAGAAGGTTATACACATCCTTAGCAGTTAACTTTGCTCAGCACAGCTCTGGTGCTTTAAATATGGAACAATCAAACAATTTTGTGAGCAGAAAAGTGACACAGATTTATTCTTTACATGGGTTTTTTTTTTGTTTGTTTTTTTTCGCTTTCTAGGCAACTCTACAGACTTCAGATCTTTTGCCTCGCAATGCAGATCATCTGATTCCCCCAAAGGTGGCCAGGTTCTTTAAACATGCACATCTCTGTAGCTTCCAGGCCGTGTTTTTTACTTATTTTTGTTTAAATTCTGCGGACCAGCAGGTCGTCCCCATTCCTAAAAACTCTACATCAGTGTTCAGGGTGGCCTGAGTGCCCGTCAGGCTCCTCCAGGGTTTACAGGATCACACAGAAGAACTTCTTCTCTCTAAAGGGGTTTTCTGAGGCCGGGACGGGGGTCAATAGCGGGTCCTCCTTGGCGTGGGCTTCGCAGTACGCCATCAGGTCTGCTGCTGCTTTGGACACCTGAAAAAGGAGGAGCCCTGGGTTAGGGACAGGCTGTGCTGGGGACATCCCACCTGGAGAGGTGCCACCAGGCTGGCAGCATCCCTGGGCAGGGAACATCAGATCTGAGATGAGAACCTGATTAACAAATACAGCAGCGCGTCCCTGCTGGGGCTGGTTCTGGGCTGGTTCTTCACCTCTGGGCTCTGAGCTGCTCTGTCTGCCTGTATTCCCATTCCCAGCCTTCCCAGCCTTCCCCCATTCCCATCCTTCACCTGGCAAGGACTGACTTCAGCATCCCTGCTGGCTCTCCCACGCATGCCTTGGCAGGAACATCCACAGCAGCATTTCCTGCCCTCACCCACCAGCCTCGCTCTTTATTCCAGACATGGCAGCGGCTCCCGAGCCACCAGAGCTCATCCCAGCCCTGGAGCACTTCTCTCCCTGGATTTAAGCTCTTAGCAAGGAGCTGAGATGCCATGGGGACAGTCACTCCTTCCCACCACCCCACAGGGCTCCAGGGGATGCTTCCAGCTGCCTCTCACCCCTGGGAGTGTCCCAGGCCAGGCTGGATGGGGCTTGGAGCAGCCTGGGATAGTGGAAGGTGTCCCTGACAGAGGGTTGGAACAAAAAGGGCTTTAAGGTCTCCTCCAGCCTAAACCATTCCCAGATTCTACATTCCCATCTCCCACTGCCTTCAGCCAGGCCCGTCAGGATCACTTAAAACAAGAGCATCCTCCACAAACACCACCTGGCTCCCCATCCCAGCTCCCTCCACGCGCTTTGGGCACCACCTCCCAGCCTTCCCAGAGGCAACTCCCAGGAATCCCTACCTTTATCCTGTCGATGTTGGCCTCCATCTTCAGCTGCTCCACCAGCTTGCGGGCCTGTGCTATGCTAGCAGTGTTGTTGCTAGCCATGGGCAGGCCAGGAGGGCTCCCGGGATGGGCTGCGGGCAGGAACACACCGGCATCAGCTGCTGGGCTGCTGCCAGCCCTGCCAGCCCCCAAAGCTGCACGTGTGGAGTGTCAGAGCCATCAGAACGAGGGGCTGAGGATGGCAGATGCCAGCCCAGGGCAGGGACACGCTGCCACTGCTGTCCCCAGAGCTGGGACGCCGCTTGGGTGGCACTGGGAGTGTGCAGAGCCCGGCCTGCAGCAGCAGGAGCCCAGCTGAGCTGTGCTTTGCTCTTCTCTGTTCCACGACAGCAACAAAAACCAGGGAACAGGATTTCTGTGCCAGACTCATTCCCTGCCCATCCTCCAGCCCCTGGCGGTGCCCAGTGTGTGTCCAGCGTCCCTCGGCCTCCCTGGCTTTGTCCCTGCTGCCAATTTGCACATTGAGATGCTAAACAGGATGCTGGAGTTTCCTGTTTCTGGAGATTTCTACCCCAGGCAGGCAGGGGATGCTCATTAAGGCCACTCCAGGCTGGATCCCGGATGTTTTTCCAGCACCTTCTACCAGCAGTGAGCTCTGGCAGAGGCAGCACAATCCCAGCATCCAGCTCCTGCAGCAGCAAAGGTTTTCCAGCAGTGCTCCTGCCTCACTGGGACTGCCTGCCAGCTCCAAAATGGGTTTTTCATGGGATTATATATATATACACACATATATTAAAAAAAAATTATATTCTATATTCTATATTTTATATTACATATTATATATTATATTTATATATTATATTATATATTAGACGTTATTACATATTATATTAGAAATATTATATAATATATAATATACAATATTATATATAATATATAAGATAAAATATATATTATATATTATATAATATATTATATATAATCTATAAGATAATATATATAATATATTATATAATACATTATATATAAAATATATAATATATTATACATAAAATATAAAATATAACATATAATATTATACTATACTATATATTACAATTATATATTATATATAATATAATCTAGATATACTATAGATTATTATATATTATATATTTTATATATATAATGAATTTTTACGGGATTTATATGGGATCCCATATAAATCTATGGGATTTATAGAAGGAATCAGCCTGGCCCTGGTGCCTGTGCTTGGAGAAGGAGTCACGCCAGGGCCAGCCGGGTTTGAGGATGAGGAGGGGAGCACAAGGAGGGGTTGTTTTTTACCAGAAGCCGATCTCTCCGGTGATCTGTGCCTCTAAGGGAAGTTCTGCTCCTCTTGGTCCTTCACTGCCTTTAAATAAAGAGAACAGAAAATGAAACTCAGCTCCACGGGACCATCATTTGTGGCATCACCAGGGACCCTGGTGATGCCGGGTGTCACATCCCCAGGTTCCTTCCGTGTGTCCCCACGCCCCGTGCCGTGCAAGCCCAGCCCCCAGTGACATTTTTTGTTTGCATTCAGCGAGGTTTTCAGCACAGGAAGAGGTTTCAGTCAGTGGGCAAGTGGCCCAGGGCTGCTGGCAGCCCCGAGCAGGCTGGAGGGTGCACAGGGCATGGACTGAGCAGTCTGGTGCACAGAGCTCGTGCTGGGGTGGAAGGAGCATCTCCTGGGGAGTGCTGCCAAAATGCTCCAGCCCAGCTCCTGGCTGGACCTGCTCCCCCAGGGCCGTGGCTGGAGGTTCAGCTCAGCCCGTGCATTGTTTATCTCATCTCTCCCCTCGTTTTTTGGTGGCTGGAGAAGGGTTTGTGCAGCAGAGCACAGCCCTCTTTCGATTTCCCACTTCTTTAGGTTTCCTTAATCTGGGGCTCTTAGCACTGGCGACTGAATGGTCTACAAAGGATTCTGAAATGAATCTTTTGCTTCATGTGGCACCATTTGTGTTGGGGAAGTTTTTTGTCTTTCACAAACAGAATGAGACTACTGACAGAAGTTCCTTGGAATTTTAGTACAACATCAGCCTCAGTGTCTCAACAACACATGGTTGAGACAATAGAAAGATAGCAAAAGCTCACGTCCTACCAGCAGCTGCCAAAGATTTCTTCGTTACAGAACATTTTAAAAACTTTTTAGCCAATAGCATATTGCTAAAGTTACAAACAAATGTTCTAACCAATCACTAAAGGTACATGTACTTCACACAATACTTACTTATGTGCCTTCTATTAACAATACACACTACACCATTATTATGCTTAAAACCTTCTACTATCTTATTAAACATATTTTTTCTACAAGTCTATCTTAACCAAACCTAAAACTCAAACTATTGTTTCCTGTCCTTATTTACTGTACTTACTATACTATTGTAGCTTTTTCCTACCTTCAAACTTTCCAACTAATTTGAATTTCTCTGCTCTTCCTGTTTCTAAAACCTACTTTCCCAACTTTCTACAACTCTTCTTACCTCTACTGTTTCCCACACCACAGAATGTTCCATGGTCCTGGCACAGCAGCAGGTTCAACCACGATTGGGTTGGGTGCCACAGAGACTTTCCTAAGGCAGCAAATGGCATCCCTGGAAGGGTTCCAAAAATGTGTGGATGTGGCACTTGGGGATGTGGGTTAGTGGTGGGATTGGCAGTGATGAGGACTCAGTCTTGGAGGGCTTTTCTAACCTAAAGGGTTCTGTGTTGTGTCCTTTCATACAAAGTCTCAAGCTGCGCCAAGGGAAATTCAGGTTGGATATCAGGAAAAGGTTTTTTCCAGAAAGAGTGATAAAGTTCTGGAATGGCTGCCCAGGGAGGTGGTGCAGTCACCATCCCTGGTGTGTTTAACAAAGCCTGGATGTGGCACTGGGGGCCAGGGTTGAGTTGAGCTCTTGGGGCTGGGCTGGACTCAATGATCCTGAAGGTCTCTCCGAACCCAGGGATTCTGGGATTCTGTGAAAGGGTCTGCTCCAGCGGCAGGGAATCACTTCAGGGACTTCCATGTTTAGGATCCATGGGAGCAGGGAGGATGCTGAGAGCATCTGTATGGCTGTTACAGCCCTGATCCTTTAAATAATTCCGTATACCCAACCCTGCTGCCACCCTCCTGAAAGGAAACCCTCCCTTGCTCTTACTACAGCCAGCCCTAGGGACACTAAAATGGCGAAAACAGCCCCAAAAATAAGGTGAGGGAAGGGTGGGACCCTCTAGAGAGGAGCACAGGCCTGTTGGGACAATGCTGGGGACTTTGAGAGGAGCCTCCCAGGAGCCACCACACCCTGGGCCACACTCAGACACTCTGCAGGTGCTTCAAGTAGAAACATTTTGGGGCCAGTGATGGTTTTTAGAGCATTTCCACCCCTGGGGAAACCTGGGGCGTTGCCTCCACCACAAACAACAAAAAAAGCAGCAGGTGACACTTCAAAGTGAGCTGGTGAATGTCCCACCCTGGAAAACAGCCCTGGTGGGGCTGCTCCAGCACAAAAGCAGCTCCTGAATCCCAGAGAGAGGAGACCCCACCGTGCCCCTGGGAAGGTGTGGAACCCCAGAATTCCATGAGTTTTTTGTTTGGATTGGATTTATCATAGAGAGATGGAATGGGATGGGTTGGAAGGGAACTTAAATCCCATCCAGTGCCACCCCTGCCATGGCAGGGACACCTTCCACTATCCCAAGCTGCTCCAAGCCCTGTCCAGCCTGGCCTTGGACACTTCCAGGGATCCAGGGGCAGCCCCAGCTGCTCTGGGCACCCTGTGCCTCCCCACCCTCATAATCCTTCCCAAAATCCCATCCAACCCTGCCATTCCCTGTGTCCTCTCCTTTGTCCAAAGTCCCTCTGCAGCTTTTTGTGCCCCTTTGAACAAACCCAGCCCTTTCCACACACAGCAAATAACCCCCAGCCCCTCTGCACGGCAGACAAACACCAGAACAACCGGCAAGATCCCGAGCTGCAATTACAGTGCAGAGCCCAAAAGAGACACTGTCCATGTCCTGGCCGTGTAAAACATCATTAGCATGGAAATAATGAGGAAGGACTCATTAACCTCTGGGCTCCAAGGCAGGAATCCCATTATCCAGGCACACACGTGCCATTAGGTGAGGGAAATAAGGCACTGACTGAATTCTCTTGGGACTGCCATAAAACTCCTTTCATTGCAGGCAAAGCTCAGCACAACAGCAGTGGGTGTGAGAGCAGCCCTGTGATAATGGGAAGACCAGGAAATAATTTAAAAAAAAACCAAAAAACCCCAAAAAACGCCCAAAAAACCCTAAAACTAAAACAAAACCTAAAAATATAAATATAAAACTAAATATAGAACCAAATATAGAACTAAATATAGAACTAAATATAAAAATAAATATAAATATAATAAAGGAAACAAAAATATAAATATAGATATGAAAATATAAAAATATATCGTTTTCTATCTATAATATAGTATATAGAACAATATAAAATATAAAAATTATAAGATATATTTTATATGAAAAATAGAAAATAAAAATATCAATAAAAATTAGAAATCCAAAAGGATTTTGCTGCCTAAGGCCAGGAGCTGAGCTCTGTGGAGGGGACCTGGAGATTAATTGGGATAATGCTGGCACAGCTCCTGAGTGACCTGTATCCAAGTGCTGCCATCACTGCACCACGCTGGGAATTCCCAGATTCCCCAAATGGGGTCAGGCATTCTCTCTGCATCCCCCACATCTCCAGTCCTGCCTCTGGAAGTTCCCATTCCCGTGCTGGCCCAGGGAGGGAGGTCACTGCTGGAAAATAAACGCCCCTCTACATGCCATGCTCAAATATTTTGGCATTTTTCCTTGGATCTGAAGACACTTTCCAGGGTGTTGCTTGCTTGACTGCAGTGAGTAAAGAGGAGCTGGGGGTTGGAGGAGAGGAGGATGCTCCAGAGCTTGGCTTGGCTGGAATCTCCTCCCTGGGAGGCTGGGGAGAGCCTGGCACACAGGAAGGTGTCCCTCCATGGCAGGGCTGGTACAAGATGGGCTTTAAGGTCCCTTCCAACCCAAACCATTCTGGGATTCCATGAAAAATGCTGGCGATAAACGCCCGGACACAAAAATTCTGCTGCTGGTTTTTGCTAGTTGGTCCCTAAGCTCCAAAAAACACCTCGTTTGTGTTGCTCTCTGCTGAATGAAGAGCCTTGGGTACATTTGAATGACATTTTTTTTCTGTCACCAGCAGCACCCGGCCAGAACGGGCACCAAAAATTGGGATTTAGGTGGGCAAACAGAGTGGCACATCCCTGATCCCTGGTGCAGCTGTGCCAGCTCATTCCAGCTTTCCCAAAAATTTCCCTAAGAATGCCCAAATATTGGAGAATTCAGGGCTGCCCAAACACCAGGGAATAAGGATACTGGGGGCTAAGAAAGCTCATGCAGAGGAAAATACAGATTCCCGGATATTTGGGAAATAAAAATGCACAAATACGTGGGAACAAGGATTCCAAATTTTGAGGAATAAGAACGTCCAAATACTGAAGGATAAGGATGCCCAAACATCAGGGAATAAGGATGCCCAAATACTGGAAAATAAAATGCAAATTCTGAGGATGTCCAAATACTGGGGAACATGGACACCCAGACCCTGGGGAATTCAGGAATTCAGGGATACCCAAACACTGAGGAATAAGGATGCCCATATAAAGAAAAAAAATATTCCCAGATACTTGGGGAACAAAAATTCCCAAATATTGGGGAATAAGGATGTCCAAATTTTGGGGAATGAGGATGCCCAAATACCAGGGAATAAGGATGTCCAAATCCTGAGGAATCTTCACCTCCTATCTGTGATGTGGAGCAGCTTGATGAGCTGAGACTGGGGTTTAAAGAGCTCTGAGCTGAAAGCCACCATTGCTCTGGGCCAAGCAGCCCTCCTCCATCCCAGCCAGTCCCACCCTCCTGGATTCCTGGATGCATTTCCACACCAAATGGCACATCCAACCCAAAGCAGCCACTGCAAAAGGAGCATTTCTGGATGCTGAGCCCTCCTGCTAAGCTGCCATCCCATTCCTGCCTCCCAGCCCGGGCTCCTGTGGGGCTCTGGCACCCCAGAGCTGCCAGCTCTGCTTGCAGGAATAATTAAGATTCATTTGCCAGCTCCTCGTCAGCAGCAGCTGCTGCCTGCTTTGCACAGAGCTGGGAGGCTGTGGAGCAGAGAGGATACTGGAATTTGGGTGCCTGCTGCTGGATCCATCCCCAGCTCCAGCTCCAAACCCATGGAATCAGAGCTGAACCATCTCCAGAAGTTTTTTCTCCTCTTTTAGTTGGGTTTTAGCTCAAGGTCTGCGTGGGTGGAGATTGGAATTTTCCTAAATGTTTAGAAAAATGGCATTTTCCCATCCC